TCCTGGTCTAATCTGTCTCTACAGATCTAATCTGTCCCTCCTGGTCTTATCTGTTTCTACAGATCTAATCTGTCTCTCCTGGTCTAATCTGTTTCTCCAGGTCTAATCTGTTCCTATTGGTGCAGTAATCTGTGGTATTTTTAGTCAATGTTTTTCTGAAATGTTTTTATTTTTTTACAAACTAAAGTTTAATTCTCAGTTGTCGACTATTTTTCAGAATTTTAAATTCTATATTTTTATATTTTCTGGTAATTTTCCAAGAATGTTTGCTTTTCATTATGAAACTTCCCAGACTTTTGCAGCCCTATCGGGGACTCTTGCTTTGGGCAGACATATGATTTCTGTTTTCATTTGTTCTTTTGCCAGGTTCAACCATCAGTCGAAAGACAAGAGACGACAATAAAAGGACAGTTTATCAAGAAGATTTGGACGCATGTAAAAAAAATAAATAAATAAACTGAGTAAACATGAAACGAACGTTCAAAAGTTACGTTCCTGACTCATCGGACTCAACAGAGGAGAAGAAAACAACGGATGGAGACGAATGTGGCCCACAAGAACAGGCAGGTCTAAGAGCCCTAGAACCAGAAAACTTTTCAGGATCAATTGAAACATCTTTTGAAGAATTTCATGACGTCATCATAGAAAACGATTCAATCGCAGCATCCCCCTCAGCTGGAGACTTTTCACCTCCTCCTTTCTCCGTATCCGTGCTCTCAGCCCCAAGCACAAATTGTGCTGATAGAAGTTCATCCTCGGGCGTCGTAGCTGAAAAAAATATTCCGTTAACACTTCTTAGACAAAGAGTTGATTCGACAAGAGAAGGACCTGACGGAACTGAACCACATCACTCTGGTTTTGGAAAAGAAACAAATGACTCAGAAAGTACAGAAGGAGCAGAACCACAGTCTGCTTCTCAGGCAACTGAAGATGTTCAAGAGAAACACGAACGTGTTCTATCGTCTGCGTCAGATGATGAAGAGGAGGAAATTTCATACATAAAACCATTAAATCGGCGTACCCGTATTTCATCTTCTGACTCTTCTTGCTCTCAGAATACGCGTTTAGAAAAATCCATTTTGTCTTCAAGCACAAGATTTGATTCTGATTTGGATCTCTGCAGGATTTCCACCATTTCAATCCCCCAGTGCTGCATTATAAAAAGAATCCCCAATCTAAAGCTTTCTGCAAAAATGAATTCTGGTTCTCGCCAAAGAACCTCAGAAAAAGTCAACCCACCGGTCGCGGCTGAGGATTGCGCTTACATCTTCAATGACAAACTCTTAGACTTATCATGTCAAGAAGAAGCAATCGTGGAAGCACAGGAAACAGAAATGTGTGGCAGACCAACAAGGGAGCATCATCATCCACGTCCAGTGCCTGAGGACAATTCTTCATCTTTACCAAGTGAGGAGATGGGTCCATCAAACAAATACATGTCTACATATGTATCATTTTTTAGTGGTCTAAATATATTTGCACGGAGTAGTTCAGAATGCTGTCCTGTAGGTCCAATACCTAAGAGTAATTCTTCATGCGAGGACATGGTTAAATTCAGATCAATCAAGTTCAATGAATGGAAACCAGAAGTCATCACAGAGACTGACGGCACTGAAGAAGATGACAACAAAGCTGAGTCTTTCTCAGAGCTGTCTAATGAGAAGATGGATTTATATGAACCAGCTGAAGCCGTGAGGTCTTCCATCAATCCTCACCTTGTCCAAGCTTTAGGTTCTGGTTTCAGTAGAACCCATGTTAGACCCCCTCGTCCTCACAGCTGCTCCTCGGTTACTCAGGAAACGCCTGCAGACATCAACGTCTCAACCAGAGCTGTGAGTTTACCAAACATGAAGTTACAGAGCAGCTTTGAGGAGTTCACGCCTGACTTCACTGATGATGAAGATGATGAAGTCTTCAGGTTCCGGTGCGCTGGTCCAGGCCTGTACCAGTGCAGAGAGACGGGCCTGGTGTTTGACATGAAGGCAGAAGGAGACGTGTTTTACAGGATGGTTCCTTGGAACAGAAGATTACTGAGCCAACACCACAAGAAGCCTGCAGGGCCTCTGTTTGACCTCACGTGTCAGCAGCAGTCTGTGGCTCAGCTTCATCTCCCACACTGTGAGCTCCGGTCCACAGGTGGAGGTGACCACCTGTCAGTCGCTCATATAGAGCGCGATGACCTGGAGCTCATCAGGCCAGAGAGGATCACCGAAACTCACGTTGTCGTAAACATCACAGGGTTCTCTGCTTTTGGTAACGTCAAGGATGAAGACTCTCCTCGTGACCCGGTCCGAGCACTGGTTCTGCTCTTCTACAAGCTCCTGGATGAACCTGATGCTGATTACCTGATTAATGTGTTGCTGCTGCCCAAAAATGTTGCTGTCAGAGATGTGCTGCGCTTCAGGAAGAAACTGGACAGAGATGAGACATTTCTGGAGACACCACCTCACTGTAAACTGCAGCCTCAGCAGGTCTACAGTCTGTCCACCGGTTCTGGAGACGACTCGGTTCTGGTTCAGCCAACAGAAGCTGAGTTTGACCAGGAGTTCTACAACAACTATCTCCCAACATTCCAGGTGGTTTACAAAACCCTGATGAAACACATGAAACTGTTTCTAAGGGACAGCAGCTCCACCAGCGTCTGGGAGAGACGAGTCTGTCTGTCGTCCTCTGGAACCGACCGCTCCTGTGGGTCGACCCGTCAAAATCTTCGTCCTGACGAGCAGCTGTCAGAGACACGGATCAGCTTCATCGATGGAGTCTCGGGTCCGGTTCTGCAAAGTCTTCTGGACAAACTGCTGGAGAGGAAAGTTCTGAGTGATTCTGAGAGGGAGGCAGCAGAGGAGGAGAGGAACAGGAGAGACAAAGCTCGGTTTGTGATCGACACCGTGAGGAGAAAAGGTGACGCTGCCGCGTCGGAGATGATCCATTTCCTCTGTGAGCTCGACCCGTTCCTCGCTGAACATCTGGGGCTCATGTGAGGAACCACACAGACAGATGCTACTAATTCAGACCTGAGGGTCACTGTGAGGTCATAGCGAAGAACAAATGTGGTGCACATGTTGAATTAGCTGCATCTGCAGATTTTAAGCATTATTCATATTGTTGTTGTTCTATATTCAGCTGGACATGGGCACCAGTGACTCCAGTGACATAGAACGGAAGAAGTGTGGATGCATTTTTATTGCTGAAGTTTTCAAACAAACCTTTTAAACCAAAATATATCTACTTAAATGTTTTTCACTTCTGATTTCATTTTCTTAATCAGTTTAAAAAAAAGTTAATGTTGTCACATTTTGTGTATCAAAAGTATTTGAGTTAATTCTGGAATTTTAATTAAATTTTAGAATACAAATTTATAAGATATTAAGTCATAATTAATTATGGGATGGCAAGTCATAATTTAGCGATACTATGTCATATTTTGGAGATATTGAGTCTCATTTACGAGATGCCAAGTAATAACTATGTGGTACTGAATCAAAAATCTGAGTACTATGTCATAATTTTATTTTATTTTTTCAGTTTTTTTTTTTATATATATATCTTGTGTGATTCCATGTGTTTATTTCTTTGTACTGACACTCTGGCACAACAATTTTCTGCAGGATCAATAAATTCTCTTATCTTATAAAAACAAAATACTGTCATAATATAGGGATCTCACAACTTTAAGATCCCATAAAACCTTGTAATTAAGGGACACTGTCAAAAATACAAGTTAGTTATTTATAATTATGACTTGAATTTTTTTCAATAAAAAATAAAAGTGATGGAAATGGGATTCTGTAAGCAGGTATTTTTTCTGTATTAAAATATTTTGCGCTTTTGGTTTTGATGCTTCTATTTTTAACAGGAAGTAACTTCCCCTCTCGTTTCCGGTTAGCTTTGCTAGCTTGATACCGCAGCTTGTTGATGTTTTCGTTCAGCTTCCAGTCTCCCTCAGAACGGGCGCAGCTCCGCTCAGCTACACAAGCAAATAGTTTGTCTCTTTTTTTAAACGCCTACACCGTCGCAGGTTTTATTTTGACCCAGCCAGGAGCCATAACATTTTTTTTATTTGACGTTTTCTGAACGAGAGGCGGGATTTTTAAACGTTTGGAGGTAAAGAGGAGGACGGAAGGATGAACCCTCAGTGTGCCCGCTGTGGGAAGATCGTCTACCCCACAGAGAAAGTCAGCTGCCTGGACAAGGTGAGCAATTTGTGTCCGGAAAAAATACCTTAAATCATCAGTAATAATAATTTTACACAAAAACACGACTGAAGAACGGGTTAAAACTCTGGAAAACAATAAGAGTGGAGGTGGAAGCTGTGAAAGATGCACTGAAATGACCCAATATTTTAATGTTATCATCACAATTGGGTTTAATAACACAATTATCTTAGGCCTAAAGGCTTTCAGAGGTTAATTAAAGTGGAAAAATACAAAAAAAAAATGTATAAGATTATTGGATAAATAAGGCTTTTTTTGTTGCATTGATGGTTAAAAATCTAAATGTTGTTTTCTGGATGACATGAAAAAATTAAATTACACATTTATGAGTCAGAAACTAAAAAGATCATGATTTATTCAATAAATATAATAGAAAATTAAACATTAAAATAATATTTAAAATATGTGAAAATATGTTCACATTTTAATTAAGATTAATTATTATTATTATTATTTTAAAAAAAAAGGAAATGGGCATTTATAACCATTCATCCATTATCTTTTCTTCGCTTCTTCCTTTTTGGGTTGCGGGGGTCACTGGTGCCAGCAGTCACTGGGAGGTGGGGGGACACCTTGGACTAGTTGCAGGCATCACAGGGCCACATAGAGACAAAAAACCATTCACACTTTAGGGACAATTTACAGTTATCACTTAGTCTCACATGCATGTTTTTGGTCTGTGGGAGGACGTCGGAGTCCCCGGAGGAAACCCACGCATGCGCAGAGAGAACATGCAAACTCCATACAGAAGGGTCCCAGGCTGGGATTTGAGCCGGCAACCTTCTTGCTGAGGGGTGAGAAGCTTTATCAACTGAGCCACCGTGCTGCCTGCATTAATAACCATTTAAATGTAATAAATATAAATGTACTAAGTTAAGCAAAGGCTAATTTTCATCAGATGTTCCTAAAAAATGCAGCCATAGTGTAAAAATACACTAAAAACAGTAGGATAAATTACTAAAACATAAATGTAAAAAAACCCCAAAAACTTAACATCTCAAAACATTAAACCATAACATGAAAAACAATTCATGTTATTAATTGAAATGGTGAATTATCAGCTGTTGCCTCCATTTTCATAAAATCATAATTAATTTTAAATCCAAGTGGTCTTGTGGATTTAACGCAGATACACAAATACTGGGACAAGTACTGAGTACTTGTGAAATGAAGTACTTTTTGCAGTGCAACACTTCTGTAGTGGTCTTTTATATAACGATGATGAATTATTAATTTATTTTCAGCACTTTGAAGCATTGGCTGTCTGTTCTGTGAAGCATCAGATGACACCACAGCATGCAGCCTCTCATTTGTCATCCTTACAACATTCTTTTTGCAAATAATCTGAAACAAATAGTGTTTCTCTTTTAGGGTAAATACAGAAAACATACAAAAATTAATGTGTCATGTGTATGAAATGATTAAAGGTAGAAAAAGGAGCAGTTTAGACTAAATATTTTACCTAGATGAGTCATAATTGAAGAGAATTGTGGGTATTATTAATAGAAAACAACGTGAGAGGCAGTGATTTACAACGAGAAGGCTGGCTGTAAATTAAAGAACCTTCATGTTTCCAGGATTTATCTTTACTTAGATATTCCTGCTGTGAAAATGACACTTTCAGTGTTTGTTAATCCTCAGGAAAGGATTATGTGGGAGGAGAAATCTGTCAGCAGGGTTGTAATGAAGATAATTGGGTACTTTTCAAATGATTTTTCTCTATAAAACTTTTCAAAAGATAATACGAGGAGTGTTCGAGGATGGACGCAATTAAATAAACTTTTCCTCCCCATTATCTGAATTATTAGGCTGTTTCAACAATAAAATGTTGAATAAATCTTTTAGAAAACTTGTTTGCACACACATGCAGTAGATACTGGACAACAAAAGCTTTAAAAAAAAAAATTAGTTAAACTCAGATTTGAAAATATCAGGCTAAATATCAGCTTGTCATGTAAGAGTGAAGCAGAAGAGCCGGTCTGAAGCAGATTAACTTAAAATCCTCAGTTCATCACATCACATTAAAATCAGGCTAATGATACTGTGTAAAAGTCTTAATCTACCCCTTGTTCCTTTCTCTTCCACTGATCCAGGTTTTCATGCAATTCTCAACACGGTTTAGATCCAGACTTTCTGAAAGTCTTCCATGGTTTTTCTTTGGACTTTAGCTGTTTTTTGTCTCTTCTTGAGTAGCGAATGGGAGCCTTGGAAATACCGTCTGTCTGGTTCATGTTGTGAGCATGATAACTTGAAAAATAAGCGAAGTACCAGCTTTCTTTTGGTGTGTGGCTGCATCTAGGCGCAAGAAAGATCCCTTTTGACAATTGATTTGCAAGTGGTTGGCACAGCTAACCAAAAGGTTAGCTTTGCTAACCCATAATCCACTAACTAAAATATTAGTTTAGCTAATACTAAACCACTAAAAAGGTAAAAAAACAAACAAAAAAAAACATTAGCGAAAGCTAACGCTAACTGCAAACCACTAGGACGACTCAGTCTGCATCACGTCTTCATCTCCTTCCAAAAGAAGACTGGTGGGGCTGATGCAAACCTGTTGATGTTAGTTTGATCCTACTGGTTTGGTTTGAAGGTGGGAGGGGTCATTTGTGGCAGTTATGCCAAACCAGATGCTACATGCACACACGACTCATGACACATACGTGCAGCACTGCTTGTCAGTATGATGATCTGCTTAAAGTGGTGAACCCATGTGCAGGAAGGCAACAGAAGACTCTAAGATAAAAGTAAATAACTAAGTTGATTTTAAATAAACAAACGTACTTTTAAGGTGAGACATGGAAGGAGACAGAACATGAAAGCCTTCTCAGGACAATCCACAGACAAATGAAAAGACACAAAGACGCTGAATGAATAGAGACACTGACGAGACAAGATGACAAACACCTGGGGTGATTAGAAGCAGAGACAGGTGTGACAGGAGCTGAACACAAGGAAGAGAAACACAGGGGAGTGCAGGGGAACAGAAACCCAGAAAACCCCAGTCAGAGGGGATTACCGTAGTTGTTTTTAAATTCAGGATAAATGGCATAAAATAAGTTTTTCACTTGCAAATTTTGTTAGAAGACAAAGTTAGTGGAACCTAACTTAGTGGAATCTAATTGGTTCTCTAACAATTTTCAAAGTTAGCAAAAATGCTAATCTGCTAAGTGAAAAGTTAATTTCGCTATTAGCTATTAGCATATTAGCAGATCCGTGCCCACCACTGGCCACCGCAATATATTTTTGTATATGTAAACCGTCCTTCCCCATCTTTGATGAAATAATGCTTTCTAGTTTTTATATCGTTTATACCGGTAAGTAATAATAATAATAATAATAATCATTTTATTTAAAAAGCGCCTTTCATGACACCCAAGGACACTTAAAGTATAGTATCTTTAAATGATTGTGGTGTACCGAATAAACACAGAGGAGTCAAAGTAGCATGTTGGCATCTCAAACACAGAATTTAGTCACTTTCTAAGGATTTAAATAATCCTGATAGAAGACAGATGGAGGATGATCTGAACTGGATGTTGAATGAGCAAACAGAGCTGTCGCCTTCTAATCTGAACAAATCTGTTCACATCCTCTTGTATTTTTAGATAAAGTTCATTTAACATTTACTTTGTGTTTTTCTGCTGATGTGTTGAAGTTGTACGCCAGTATAGATGGTGTTTCTGTAGCTGCAGATGGGGATTCTCAGTTGTCATGGAGACGATTCAGTTATCTGGTGACTTACGGATGATGTTCATGTGACGACAGACGATGGATACCAGCAGAGCCCCCATATGCTAGACATCCATTCATCCAGAACCAAAATTAATGAAAGAAGAACATGGTTTGCTGTAGTCACATTTCATCTTGTTCAGAACTCCATATTTATGTCTCCTGATATCATCCAAATTGTTATGTCTGAAGGTTTTGGGAAAGTAAAACAAAGCTGAATTCATGGGTACCGACTCCATCCACGTGTGGCGGAAAGTTTGGCCATAACTTCATTGAGGATCCACCTTAGCTGCCTGTAGAAAACCCATAAATGTATGACTGTCTTTTGGCCTTTTTTCTGGGCTCAACTCGTCTATTTGTGTCATCTTCAAATTCAGGGTTTTTTCATTTTCGATCCCACTTGCTTCCAGTTCGGTTCTTAGGACCTACTAGGCTACGTCAGCCGACCTTAGGACGTTGAGTGACGTCAATTGTGAGAGCGGCTCCTTCACAAGCGTCAAATTCACCGAAAACCTCACAACCGCAGAATTCATTTTTATTACTTTAAATAAACATTATATCCGATTGAAAATAGGTTGTTGCAAACACACAAAATTATTTTAAATGTACCAAAATCTGGAGTCAACACTAGAAACCACTTTTAGCAAAGAACCAGTTGGATTTTTAGGTTCTGTGGTACCAACAGCTTGTAAAAGAACTGTCCTAATTTCTTTCACTGAGTTATAGTGAATTACTAAATGACCAGTATGCTCTAAACTTGAGCTCAACAACTTCTATGCCCAGTTTGATGCAGACAGCGCCACACATGTCAACAAACCACATGTGGACAGTGAGGACGCCACACTCTGTATAGACACTTCTACAGTGAGACGAGCGTTCAAGAAAGTAAACCCTCGCAAGGCACCAGGACCTGATGGCATCCCAGGACGGGTGCTGAGAGTGCGTGCTGACCCACTTACCAAGGTGTTTACCAGTATTGTTAATCTTTCTATGAGCCAGTCTATTGTTCTCATCATCTTCAAGACCTCCACTGTTGTCTCCATCCCAAAGACCTCTGCAGCATTGTACCTTATTGACTTTCATCCCATAGCACTCACATCTGTCATCATGAAGTGCTTTGAGCAAATTATCAAGGCATTTGTCTCCCTCCCTGACACCCTGGATCCCCTACAGTTCTCATAAAGAGCAAACAGGTCTACAGATGATGCTATTGCTTTAGCAGTTCACACCTCCCTCAGCCATCTGGAGAAGGAAAATGCCTACGTGAGAATGCGTTTCGTTGACTACAGCTCAGCATTCAACACCATAATTTACTCCAAACTGGTCTCCAAGCTCACCACACTGGACCTGACGAAGTCCCATCTTCTGGATACTGGACTTCCTCACCAACAGACCACAGGCAGTGAGAATCATCACCTCTCCTCCACACTAGTCCTCAGCACTGGTACACCTCAGGGCTGTGTGCTCAGTCCACTCTTGTACTATCTATTCACTCATGACTGTACCTCCAGGCACAGCTCAAACATCATCCTCAAGTTTGCTGATGACACCACCATCTTGGGCCTCATCACCAACAATAACGAGAGTGCCTACAGAGATGAGGTGAAATCACTGACCAGCTGGTGTCAGGAAAATAACCTCTCTCTGAATATCAGCAAAATGAAGGAGATGATGGTGGACTTCAAGAGACAGTGTGGAGGCCAGCACTCCACATAAACAACATTGAGGTGGAGCAGGTCAGCAGCTTCAAGTTCTTCAGCATTCACATTACTGAGGATTTGTCCTGGACTTTACGTACAGACAATGCGGTCAAGATAGCCTGACAAAGTCTCTACTTCCTAAGAAGATTAAAGAAGTTTGGTATGAACACCATCCTCACTAACCTTCATAGGTGCACCATTGAGAGCCTGCTGACAGGCTGCATCACAGGGTGGTATGGAAACTGCACCAGTCGGAGCCAGAAAGCAGAACAGAGGGTGGTGCAAACAGCAGAGGACATCACTGGTAGCAGTCTCCACACCATCCAGGATATCTACCACAGCCGATGTCTGCGTAAAGCACGCAGCATCATTAAGGACCACACCCACCCAGCACAAGAACTTTTCCGTCGACTACCCTCAGGCAGACGATACAGGAGCCTCTCATCGCGCATGAAAAGACTCAAAGACAGTTTTTACCCACAAGCTGTCAGATTACTGAACTCTTGACAATAATACTGAACAACTGACAACAACATTGCAACAAGCCACACTTGTAACACCTAATATGTTTATTGTTGCACTATGTGGCTGTATGTCACTAACTTACCATGATAATTCAGTTCATCTCAATGTTACTCACTACCTGTGCAATAACCTGTCACACAACCTGTTCAATATGTTATGTGCATTATATATCATGTGCATTAAAGCAATATTGCTACCTGTGAAATATTTATTTATACTAATTCATCCTATTTGCATCGTTATATTCTACCATGTTGTTTACTATGTTTTTTTTAACCTTGTAAATATATTTCTTTTTCACTTTTTGGTAATTTATTTTTTACTTTTATTGCATGCTTTAGTATTTCTTGTTTTGTTTTTTTCTTAGCGAGTCAAATCGGTTCTTCTCATCCTGAACATTTCATTGCATTGTTGACCTTGTGTTAACCTGCATATGACAAATAAACAACATAAC